ACATTAATTTATGTACATTTAATAAAAAAGATACTCTTAATTTGTGCTTTTTGATTAAACAAATATTCTTTTGAAAAATCCTTTAAAAAATATTGAGCCAAACAGATACTAAAGCATTGCTTCAAAGTGCAGAACTCCAGTTAAACAAACCGATGCTGGATCCAGTAATTACCGGGGAAAAATAGCCGGTGACCGGCGAGGGGCATTTAGGTTAAATCACCGAAAAAGAAGGCCAAATTGTGAGTTCACTTCACACCGAAAACGCAAAAGAGGCGCTGCTGGTATTTCTACTTCCTGCCCAGTCGCCGCTATTATCTTTATACACTGCCCCGACCCCACTACTGGGCCACACTCACATAACCGTCTTTCATAGCGAATTTCCAATTTCACCCCCTGCCCTCTCCCTTTATATTTGAACCTTCCTTCCCCCTTTCTTACCCAACAAATTCTTCCTATCTCTCCCTCACGATCCCAACACAAAAACCACCTTTTTCTGCAACCAGTCATGGCGAAAGGAAGCAACAAACTCACGAAGCTCAAGTCGGTTCTGAAGAAGCTGAACTCCTTCAACAACAAGCATAGCCGGTCCGTGGCGAGCTCCGCGGTTGCTGCGGCGGTCGACGATTCCTCCGCCAACCTCCACCCTGTCTACGTCGGGAAATCGCGGCGACGGTACCTCATCAGCTCCGACATTATCGACAACCCGCTCTTCCGCGAGCTCGCGGAGAGGTCCGGTGACAACGACACCATCAACGTCTCCTGCGAGGTCGTCCTGTTCGAGCACTTGCTGTGGATGCTCGAAAACGCCGATCTGCAGCCGGAGTCCATGGAGGAGCTCGTCGAGTTCTACGCCTGTTAACACGATCGAATCGAGGTTCCTCTTCCATATGCGGAAAATAACAATGGAAGTGTGAGTGTTTCTGTGCGGTCACTTACATTCATCTAAATTTGTACATTATGTAATCATAATAATGATTCGTCGGGGTAGATAGCATAGGCGGAGAGACGGCGGCACGATGCCGATGATCAGAAATTGATCAGGAGAGAGTTAATTTAAACGGTGAGGACTAACCGAATTCACACCGGCTAATCTCTAGGGCCTGGTGGAAAGGTTTATGTTCATCACTGCCGTATCATGTTGTCCTTAATTAATTGTCCATTTTTCTCATAATTATTTATGTATAATTTTCAATTCTACGTCTTTAATTATCAACAATATTTGATTTTTTTTTTTAATCAAATCGAGATAGTAGGAGTAAGATTTTTATATTATTGAATTAGCGGAACGGAAAATACAAATGCGAAGATCAATTTAGTACTTGTTAGAAAAAAAAAAAAATGAAAAATACAAACGGGAAGGAGATGGAGGTGATGTTGAAAGTAGGGTCGTTCAATCTTTATCTCAAGCAAGCATGGCCAATTTTTCTTCTTCTTCTCCTTCTTTTTTTTTAAAGTCATTTTTCTTAAGTGTTAACACCACGGCAACATTGAAAAAAATGACGAAATGCATAGATAAAGGTGAAAATTTTGTTATTTTATTTAAGGATATGAATTTTTTAATTTTTTAAATCATACATTAAATTTTTATTTTTTAAAATAAAGATATATATTTTATATTTTTTTAATTTAAGAATTTATTGAAACCTGACCCTTCGGGCC